GGGGGGGGGGGGCCTTCATGGTTTCTTGCACTGGGGCCCTGAAGGTTCTAGTTACGCCTCTGACTCTCAGACACCCGATCTTCAGGTATCGGGTGTATGAAAAAGGTTAACCCTATCAGTAATGGATGCCTCTATACCGAGGCATCCATTAATGAATGATAACCGCTGATTCTCAGCGGTTTTCAGCCTTCTAGTGCAGCAAATAACTCATCACGTACAGTGTACGTAGGGGTACGAAGGGGTTAATTAAAAAATCCAGTGATTTATGAACTGTAGGATTCTCTGCAGACTGGACTTGTCAGCGTCAATTTACACAAAACATAAAACATTGCATCATTTTTTAATTGATTCACTTCATCCTTATCCAAGACTGCTGAAAGGTAATGAAATATTCTTTTGTCCCTACAAAGAAAAAAAAAATGAATGGCTGAATGTCCCGTTTTCAAAAAAAAATTGTAAACGTTTTCTGGAAGTTGCCAATTTAAAAAACATTAATTTGTGGTAGAATGTTTTTGATTACCCCACCATGTATTTATGTACACATATACTTATGAAACACCTAAAACAGTATAGGAAACCTAAACAAAGGATTAAAAGGAGATATTAGCAAAGGACTAAAGTGATATTACGGCCATCTTTACATACCTTTGCTTTCCAGGATTTATTGAAAACTTGTCTACATTGCTGTCAAAGGAAGTAGTAATGTCATCAAGGTACCCGTTGTCTCCAAATGCCCCCCACTCCATATTGATACACATCTTTCCCTCATGGCCTTCCAGCACTTCCACATTCCTCATCTCCTCCATGTAACAAGCATTTGTTCCTGTGCCTGTAAATACAAGAAAACTCAGCCAACAAATATGTGCAATAAAAACCTCAGCCAATATGATCAACTCATGTAGTGATGATCGGAGAGTCGGACCAATACGTAAAGTCTTCTCCAGCACATCCAACAAATTCTCAAATGGGGTCAAGGTTCTGAGTCTGTAGTGGCCAATCCATGCACTGAACTACTCCTTCACAATTTGAGCTAGATGAATCCTGGCATTGTCATTTTGGAATATGCTTGTGCCATAAAGGGAAGAAAAAAATCAATTTATGGAAAACCTTTGGCTGAACCTAGACCTGACCGGGCAACCCCAGACCAAAACACTGCCTGAAATTCAGGTGGTGACTTTTTTGGGGGCTGAACAGTGTATTATACACGCACACACAGTATCTTACCTACTATCAGTCCAATCTCACAGGCTGTATCATCATATCCACATGACATCATTGTTCCCACTGTATCATTCACCAGCGCTACCACACGGAAATCATGGTTCTGCCAAATAAAATTAACCATTAACCACAAAAAATGGGATTGTATACACACGACAGACACAGTGAAAGTTTAAACACAAGTACATACATTGTTTCTATTGGCTGCCTCTCTAAGAAGCCTGACGACATCTTCTCCCACACAACCAGATGCACTGAATCCCTTGGTCCATGAAATCAGGATGCCCTACAAATGAAACAGTATACAAAGCTTTAAAGAAAACCTTTCCAGAGAGAGGCATGAAGATTGACATCGTTACTCATTCTACAAATGCTAGTTTTCTGCCTGTCATGTCTACCCTCTTGCTTCAATACGGTGTGTTCTTTACCTGTAACAAGTATACAAATAAGAATGTCTGACTGATTTTATGGATAGGCATGCTTGTTCCAGGTCAGTGACTCAGTGCTTATTGAACCAAGTTGGTTAGTACACTAACCATACAGCATAATATTCATAGAGGATTGTCAATGACAGTACCATGTGCCTGTCAGAAAAGGGTTGCTTCAATTTCATTTTTAATAGGCACACCCACCCAAATAGCATTACTTGGTTACTAACCAGTTTTTAGTAGAATGACTGTTTAGAAATGTTGTCAGAAGCCATTGGTAAATACTGAAAACCAGCACTTAGTTGGACTTCAATAAACTGAATAAAGTTAACAGCCCAAGTTTTGGGTTACTTCATGGCACTCTACCTGTGAATAAACTTTATATGGTGTGTATTGGTAGACGGTAGATGGGTAGTACTTCACAATCATCTTACCTGATCAAGGCTGGTCTGCTTACAAGGAAAAGAAAAGGTGAAGCCCAGAGGTAGTTTTTTTCCTTGAAGGCCATTTTCCTTCTGAAATTCTGTGATACAGTTCACAATGTGATCAAAGAGCTGCAAAGAACCAGCATAAAAAAAAAACATTGTCAATTCACATTTCTGTAGCACGATTTAATATTGCATTGTAGCTATGTGGTTGGCAGATGTAATATACATAAGAAAAAACACATCAGCAATATCCCTAAAACACAAGCTCAAATTTTATACCCAAGACAGGTATAGGTTCCAAAATGGCTGATTTCACTACTGTATGATACAAACATCTTGGAGAACTAACCGCAGATCTTCTTTGGATGTAGGCTGCCTCAGATCCTTCTGTCTTTTCATGTAATCCCAGGGAGACTCGATGTTAAGATCAGGGCTCTGTGGTGGCCAAACCATCCCTTCCTCGACTCCTGAACCTCCACCATGCTTCACTGTTGCCTGCAGACACTCAGTCCAGACCACCTGCTGCCTTTTTTTCTGCGGCCTTGCAGCCAAAAAGCCATACCATTGACATGGAAACAAGGCTAAGCGATTCACCAATGGATGAAAACATAGCAACTGGGGTGCAGAAAAATGGCAGCAGTTGCTCTGGACCGATGAGTCAAAAATGTGAAATATTTGGCTGTAGCAGGAGGCAGTTTGTTCGCCAAAGGGCTGGAGAGCGGTACAATGACTGTCTGCAGGCAACAGTGAAGCATGGTGGAGGTTCCTTGCAAGTCTGGGGCTGTATTTCTGCCAATAGAAATTTGGTCAGGATCAATGGTGTCCTCAATGCTGAGAAATACAAGCAGATACTTATCCCGTCATGCCATACCATCAGGGAGGTGTGCGATTGGCCCCAAATGTGTTCTGCAGCAGGACAACGACTCCAAACATACAGCCAATGTCATTAAGAACTAGAAGAACAAGGAGTCCTGGAAGCGATGGATTGCCCTCATTTCATAATACATTTTAAAAAGTGCATGTTTTGCAGGTAAACTCATTTGCAGGGAGAGCTATTAGTGTGTAGCACTAATAAAAGTATTAAAGATAAAATAAAACAAATTAAACCAATAAAACAATTAAAGATGTAACGTATACATCACAGATTTTAAATATCACTTTTCATACAAAATAAACACAAAGGAGGGAGAAACATACCGCCTCACCAGTTCCTTGAATCACTTCAGTAGGCAAGGTGAAGGTCTTGCTTTTCATCTGTACTCCACTCTCATTTTTCAAGCCCACATTAATACACAATACTCTGAAATTGGTACCGCCTAAGTCCAGAGCTATGAATTCTCCTTCTTCTGTAATGGGGAAAATAAAATACATTATACTTAAGTGGAGCCAAACAGGGAGTAAAATGCATCCCCGTTGTTTGAATGGAAGCAGCCCACATTGTGTAACCAAGCTTTGTCAAGCCAAATACAATAACATTTCTACAATAGTGCCATTTTTGACTCATTATCAAGGCCAAGAATTGGATAATTATGTACCACAATGAGGTTTCAATATTAACCACAACATAGTTAATTCCACAGAAACCATAGATTTTCTCATAGCACAGAAATCATGAATTACCATAGTTGCTAATAATGTCCAGTCAAGGTCAGGCTCAACATCAGTAACATAGTAAAGTGTGAAGTACTTATGGTTCTGTCCCATGCCTTGAGCAGTTTGTATTAAACATGTTTCCAGGCAGCATAATTTACAGCAGGGGTAAAATGTTCAAGTTCTAAGCTACTAGCTAGGCCTTAAGAGTTACTCGCCACCAGCTGCGCACCTAAACCCTACCCTGCCTCAGCCTTAACTCCGCCCCCTAAAACACACCGTCTTAAAATTATCTTATAAATGACACCGTTACATGTTTTATGCAAAATAAAGTTACAACAATAAAATATTAACAACCTTTATTACCATAAAGCTCCCTGCCCCCACATATAAAATAAACCC